AGCCAGAGCTGGACCAGGCTGAAGCCAGGAGCCAGGAGCTTCATCTGGGTCTCCCACATGGGTGGGTGCAGGGGCCCAAGCACTTAGGCCATCCTCTGCTGCTTTTCTAGGCACATTAGCAGGGCTGGATTGGAAGTGGAACTACCAGGACTTGAATAGATGCCCATATGGGATGCTGGTTTTGCAGGCTGTGGCTTTATCTGCTATGCCACAGTGTTGGCCCCTTGTTTACCCTCTTGAATATCACTCCCTTTCTCCCCCTCTAAATTCCCTGCAAAACTTTCTTATTTTCCAGTTCCTCATGCTGCAGTGCTACCCTATCCTTTGCTGCTCTACATGTTTTATTCATTCTGTTTGCAACCCTTTCTTCTCTGCTTGGCCAACTCATCCTTCAGGTCATGTTCTTCAAGAAGTCCTCTCTGACCTCCTTTATTGTCTTGGTCTGCCCAGCTCCCCAGACTGGGCGCGACATTGTCTGCAGGTTACCAAGCTTCCTCTGTTCTGACACTCATCCAGTCTCCTAGTTGACTATGAACCCTTGTTCACGCCTTTATCACCAGTGCCCTGTATAAGGCTCAGCTCAATAAGTGCTTAGCAAACATGTTGAATTGCATTTTAATGTGTCAGTAGACATGGAGGTCTCAGTCTTGCTGGTCTGTGGCCTCACCCTCAGAGCAAGGAGCATTGTGTGAAAGATGGCATTCTATAAAAGCTCTCTTGCTGGGAGCTGTATCCCCACTGTTTATGTATTAGTTTAGCAACCTGATTCAGTTAGCAACCTGCACTTTGGTTGCTTCATGCACAAATATAAATTTATGGGCTTCCAGAAGGCAAATGGTGGGACCTGATAATTTCTTTCTTTCTTTTTTTTAAAATGTTATTTATTTATTTATTTGAAAGAGTTACAGAGAGTCAGAGGCAGAGAGAGGTCTTCCATCCGCTGATTCACTCCCCAGATGGCCGCAACTGCTGGAACTGTGCTGATCTGAAGCCAAGAGCCAGGAGCTTCTTCTGGGTCTCCCACACAGGTACAGGGCCCAAGGACTTGGGCCATCTTCTACTGCTTTCTCAGGCCATGGCAGAGAACCACATGGGAAATGCAGCAGCCGGAACTCGAACTGGCGCCCATATGGGATGCTGGCACTGCAGGCGGTGGCTTTACCCGCTATGCCACACCACTGGCCCCTGTTTTTTCTTCTTCATACCTTTGTTACTAGTATTTTATGTATTCATGGTATAGTTCCTCCCTTGCACAATGATTATTCATGTTTGTTGGTACATTTTATCTTTTTTTCTTATTGATTTGTAAGACTTATTTGTATTTGCTATATTTTATGAATATTTTAAACTAATTTTTTTAGGTTAAAATTTTTATGGCCAAAGAAAAGTCTCTAGTTTAAAAAAATTTTTCCTCAGTCATTTGGAAAAGCAAAATTCATTCTTAGTTCACCTGCTACACAAAAATAACTAGTTACCCAAATCTGGCCCATAGATCATGGGTTCCCAACCCCTTCACTAATGTGCTCTCTAAATTTGAAACGTCTTTTTATTTCTTGAGTGAATATGACTTGATCATGAGCATACTGATGGATCTGACTTGCTAATATTGTATTTGTAGGATTTGTGCACCCGGGTTCCTAAGCCAGATGGGTCTATGCAGAGGTTTCACATTAGTTGTGGTTGCAGATATGTTCTATGTAGCCCAGGTAAAACTTTGTAAAAATTTGCTTCTTTTATTTATTTGCTTCTTTTTATTTTGTTGTGAAAGTCAGAGAGGCACAGTGAGATCGAGATCTTCCATCTGCTGATTCACTTGCCAAATGCCTGCAGTAATAGGAGCTGGGCCAGGGTGAAGGCAGGGGCCGAAATCAGTCTCAGTCTCCTGTGTGGGTGGCAGGGGCCCAGCTGCTCATGCCATCACTTGCTTGCTCCCAGGATGCATATCAGCAGGAAGCTGAAAGCAGAAATGGAGCTGGCACTCATAAGCAGGCACTCTGGAATGGGGTGCAGGTGTCCCAAGTGATGACTTAACTACTGGGCCAAATGCCTGCCCCTGGCCTACATAATATTCTCAAGTTATATGAATCAGTGATCAGTATTAAAAAACTGGGGGAAAATACATTAAAAATTTGACATTTCTGGTTCTTCTTTAACAAAAAGGGAGACTGTTGGCCCAGTTTTAGCCACATTTAAATAGCTCTTCTCTATTGTATTTCTTCTGTTTCATTGATTTCTGCTTCTATTTTTATCTTTCATCTTTGATCTATAGTTTTCAGTTGCTGACCTCATTTATTTTTGTTTATGTATAGTTGCCTACCTAGTACTGACAGATCTTCCAGTTTTTTTTTTTTTTCTGAGCTCTGAAATAGTTTAAATTATGTTGGCATAGTTTGTTTCTTCAAATTCCTCTAGAGTTGACTTTTAAAATGATCTGGGTTATGGGGCTGGCGCCATGGCTCACTTGGTTAATCCTCCACCTGCAGCGCCGGCATCCCATATGGGTGCCGGGTTCTAGTCCCAGTTGCTCCTCTTCTAGTCCGGCTCTCTGCTGTGGCCTGGGAAGGCAGTGGAGGATGGCCCAAGTGTTTGGGCCCCTGCACCCGAATGGGAGACAGGGAGGAGGCACCTGGCTCCTGGCTTTGGATAGGCGCAGCGCCGGCTGTGGCAGCCATTTGGAGCGTGAACCAGCAGAAGGAAGACCTTTCTCTCTGTCTCTCTCTCTCACTGTCTATAACTCTACCTGTCAAATAAAAAAATAAAATAAAAAATAATTAAAAAATAAAAAAAATTTAAAATGATCTGGGTTTTCTATAACTTTTTAAGGTAGCATTTTGGTTTCCTTTTCTCTTTTATCTATTATTAATGATCTATTAAAATTTCAAACACATATCAATTTTAGTAATTAATACTTTCTAAAAAATCATCCATTTCTTCCCAGAGTTTCAGATTTGTATATTAAAGTTGAAATAGTTTTTAAAAAATTTATTATTTTATTTATTTGAAAGGTAGAGTTACACAGAGAGAGAGAGAGAGAGAGAGGTCTTCCATCCTCTGGTTTACTCCCCAGATGGCCTCAATGGCCAGAGATGGGCCAGTCCAAAGCTAGGAGCCAGGAGCCAGGAGCTTCTTCTGGGTCTCCCTCATGGGTGTAAGGGTTCAAGCACTTGGGTCATCCTCTGCTGCTTTCCCAGGCCATTAACAGGGAGCTGAATTGGAAGTGGAGCAGCCAGGACTCAAACCACACCTGTATATGGGATGCCCGTATCATAGGTGGCAGCTTAACCTGCTATGCCACAATGCCAGTTCCAATAGTTTTATTTTATTCTTAAAAAAATTACTTTTGGGGCTGGTGCTGTGATGTAGAGGGTAAAGCTGCTGCCTGCAGTGCCAGCATTCCATATGGGTGCTGGTTCGAGTCCTGGCTACTCTACTTCTGAGCCAGCTCTCTGCTATGGCCTGGGAAAGCAGTGGAAGAAGGCCCAAGTGTTTAGGCCCCTGCACCCACCTGGGAGACCTGGAAGAAGCTCCTAGTTCCTGGCTTCGGCTCAGCTCAGTTCTGCCATTGCAGTCATTTGGGGAGTGAACCAGTGGATGGAAGACCTCTCTCTGTGCCACTGCCTCTCTGTAACTTTGACTTTCAGATAAATAATAAGTCTTTTAAAAAAATTACTTTTGTATCTTGGTTATCTTTCTTTCATAAACTTCTTAACTTATAGTTTTCTATGTAAGTTTTGCCAGAGGTCTGCTTTATTAGTTCCTTCAAAGACTAGGCTTTGGTTTGATTATTGAAAAAATTTTATTGTATTTTTTTTGGAATAAATGCAAACTTTATGATTTCCTTTTTAAATAGAATTTTAAACATTATTCAAAAGGCAGAACAACAGTGAGAGACAGACAGAGATCTTTCATTTACTGCTTCACTTCCTAAATGAAAGATTTCTGTCTCCCATGTGGGTGGCAGGACCCAACTACTTGAACCATCACCTGCTGCCTCCCAGCGTGTGCATCAGCAGAAAGCTGGATCACAAGTGGAATGGGGACTTGAATCAAGCACTCTGATATGGATGCCGGCATCTTAACTGCTGAGCCTAATGCCTGCCCCTAAAATTTCCTCTTTAAAAAGTATTTATTTGAGGGGCTGGCATTGTGGCGTAGTGGGTAGAGCTGCTACCTGTGACACCGGCATCCCTTGTAAGTGCTGGTTCCAATCTTAGCTCCTCCACTTCTGATCCAGCTCTCTACTGATGCTCCTGGGAAAGCAGCGGAAGATGGCCCAAGTCTCTGGGCCCTGCCCCTGTGTGGGAGGCCTGGAAGAAGCTCCAGGCTCCTGGCTTCAGCCTCTGCCCTGCCTTTGCTGCCATTTGGGGAGTAAACCAGTGAATGGAAGATCTCTCTCCCTTTTGTCTCTCCCTCTCTCTCTCCCTGTAACTCTGACTTTCAAATAAAGAAATCTTCTTTTTAAAAAATATTTATTTGAGAGGGGTGGAGGGAGGGAGGGAGGGAGGGAGGGAGGTGAAGAGAGAGAAACTCCCTTATCCAGTGAGCTACTCCCCACATGCTGGTAACAGCCAGAGTTAGGCTGGACTTGGCTGAAGCCAGGAGGCAGAAACTCAACCCACATCTCCCATTTGGTGGCAGGAACCCAACTACTTGAGCCATCACTACTACCTCCAGGCTGTGTGTCTGCAGGAAGTTGGAGAACCCAGGCATGCCAATGTGGGAGTTGGCTTACTAACCAGCAGCTTACTAGCTACAGTAAACATCCACCCCCATTATTTGCTCCTTTAAATTTCTTCTGAATTAGCTTATTCTTCTAACATTTTAAAATATATCTTTAGTTTTAAAAAATGTAAGATTTTTGTTGTTTTCTAAATAAATTGTTTTTCCCTTTAACTTTTAATTCTATTCCATTGATCTGTTTATCTTGCCTTTCTGATACATTATTTTTTAAAAATATTTATTTATTTATTTAAAAAGCAGAGTTTCAAAGAGGCAGAGGCAGAGACAGAGGCAGGGAGGGAGGGGAGAGAGAGAGAGAGAGAGAGAGAGAGAGGTCTTCCATCTACTGGTTCACTCCCCAAATGGCTGCAATGACTGGAGCTATGCCAATCCAATGCCAGGACCCTGGAGCTTCTTCTGGGTCTCCCACTGGGTACAGGGGCTCAAGGACTTGGGTCATCTTTCACTGCTTTCCCAGGCCAAAGCAGAGAGCTGGGTTGGAAGTGGAGCATCTGGGACTGTAACTGGCTCCTATATGGGATGCTGGCATTGTGGGTGGTGGCTTTACCTGCTACACCAAAGTGCCAGCCCCCTGATACTACATTATTACTGCAACATTTAATATTGATATTTCAAGTCTTCTTTATTGTTATTTTCAAATTTTTCTTGGCTCCTAGGCCAGAAGATATCGTAAAAGTCATTAAAATTCTTTTATAGTTAATATGAAAATGCACCCAAATAAATCCTTTTAAATCCCTTCTCTCCAAATCCAAAATACAAAAATCCAAATCCCTCCCCTCCAAATCCAAATATTCCTCATTCATCCCAATTCTAAGTCTTTAAAAATTGCTTGGTGCAGGCATTTGGCACAGTGCATGGGTCACTGCTTAGGATACCCCCATTTAATACCAGAGAAGTGGCCAGTTTGATTCCTGACCACGCTGCTTCTGATCCAGCTTCCTGCTACTACGCACTCTGGGGGACAGCAGGAGATGGTTCAAATATTGGGTCCCTGCCATGCATATATGGGAGACACAGATTGAGTTTCATGCTCCTGTCTTAAGCCTGTCCTAGCCATGGCCACTGTAGGCATTTGGGGAGTAAATTAGAGAACAGAAGATCTCTCTCTGAGTCTTTGACTTTTAAATAAAAATGAAAATCTAAAGAAATGCCTGGGGACTGGCAATGGCACAGTGAGTTAAGCAGTAACTTGCAATGCCAGCATCCTCATCAGAGTGCCGGTTCTAGTCCCTGCTGCTCTGCTTCTGATCCAGTTTCCTGCTAATGTGCTTGAGAAGGCAATGGAAGATTCCCCATTTGAGAAGTGGACCGATGAATGCAAGATCTTTTTGTCTCTGTATTCCTCTGCCTCTGTCACTCTGCCTTTCAAATAAGTAAATAAATAAACAAAAAAATAAATCTTTTAAAAATGCCTATAATCAGGGGGCACATTTTTGGCACAGTAGTTAAGTTGCACTTGGGATACCCACACCTCTTTCACAGAGTGCGAGGGTTGAGTTCCAGCTCCTCCACTTCAGATTTAGCTTCCTGCTGATGCACACCCTGTGAGGCAGCAGGTGATGGCTCAAGCACTTGGATCCCTGCCACCCACATGGGAAACCCAAATTGAATTCCAGGCTCCTGGCTTTGGTCTGGTGCAGTCCTGGCCATTGTGAGTATTTGGGGAGTGAAGCAGCAGATAGAAGATCTGTGTGTCTATATGTCTCTTTCTGTCTCTCTGCTTTTCAAATAAAAAATGAAAATAAACAAACATTCTAAAATACCCATGATCAATCTGTCTATGTGAATGTGATGTGTGTAGGAGGTGTATTTCGTGTGTCTGTGGTGTGTGTGTGTGTGTGCACAGGATACATGTGGAGTGTGTCTGTGTATGTATGTGAAGTATGTTTGCAGTTTGTTTATTTGTGGAATTATATGTGGTATATATGGGATAATGGGATATGTTAAGTATTTTTAAAAAAGATTTATTTATCTATTTGAAAGGCAGAGCTAGAGAGAGAGAAAGAGAGAGAAAGAGATACAGATCTTTTATCCCCTGGTTCACTCTCCAAGTTGCCACAATAGCTGGAGCTAGACCAGGTCAAAGCTAGGAGCTTGGAAATCCACCTGGATCTCCCACATGAGTGACGGGGCCCAAGCACTTGGGCCATTCTCCGCTGCTTTCCCAGGTGCATTAGTAGGGAGCTGGATTGGGAAATGGAGCAGAGGACACTTGAACCTATGCTCTGATACGGGATGCCAGCATTGCAGGAGGCAGCTTAAACCGCTGTGTCACATGCTGGTCCCGTGTTCAGGTATTTAGGTGTGTGCATATTGTGTGCAATGTGTAAGTTTGTATGTGGCATGTGTTTATGTATGTGGGTATGTGGGAGTGGAATAGAGATACCGAGGCTTAAAAGGGTGCTAGGGTGCTCAGGTCATGCCAGAAAGCCAGGCTTGGTCCTTACAACCCCCTGCCTTGTTGGGGAAAGCAGGGCCATGACCATGACCCTTTCTAGATGCCACCTGTGGACAGCACTGTAGGTGCTGAGTGCTACTGCCCAAGTTGCAGTTTACCTCTGCCCTTCAACTCCTGAGAAAGGGGCAATCCCCCCTTTAAGAGAGAGGAAGCTCCCAGGGCCCTGCCAAGTGAAAGAGCCTTACTAGTGGAGGTAAAGGTGGTGGATGTGGTTCCAATGGAGGGGTTCAAGTCAGGGTCAAGTGGGCCTTGGGGTCTCCCAGCTGAATAAGCTAGCTACTGAGTAGGGAAAGACTCAGGAGGGAACCTGCAAGGCGGGGGATCTTTGTCTCCAACAAGGAGTTAAGTGCCTAGTGTGGGCCTTGTTCTTTTCTCCTCCAGGTCGCACTCAGACAGTGCAACTCTGCCCAGTTCTGCTGCCGCCCACCTTCGTGTGCTGGTTCTTCAGTCTCCTGGGTCCACGGTACAGGGCTCAACAGTGATTCCTGGTAGAGCTGTGAAGAGGGTGACTGTCACCTTGAGCGTGTCACACTCCCCTCTCCCTGTAGACCTTTCTTTGCCCTGGCTCCTAAACACTATCTTTCTAGTTCCTACTGAGGATGAAGACCCCCGGCAGGGAGCCTACCAGGCCATGCCCCCAACTCATGCTCTCGCCGTGCCCCTGCAGGGCAGCAGCACCTCCAGGCTCATCCTCAGTGTCCTGTCCTCATCCTGTGGCTTGAACCTGAGATTACCTGTTTCCCAATTTCCCTGCTGGATGGAGTGGAGGAGACAGGATCCCTTCCTTTTCGGAAAGGATGCCTGGACTCAGACTCCCCAGGCCAGGAAGAGGATCAGATACCTCCAAATCCAGGGTACAGGTAAGCCCATCTGCCACTGGGTTGGGTAGGGGAAGTGCCAGGCAGGACTTCACAGAGTGCCAGGATTCAGACAGTCCACTAGTCATTCATGCAGCTGGTTTGCTGATTCCAGGGCTCCTTCTCTAGTTTCTGTGTCCTGCTGGTCCTGCGGCATCTAGTTTCTTTACCTACCTCAAGAAGGAAGCAGGTCTGCTACCTCCACCTGCTATTGACCATGGGGCAGGCGTGGGATCAAGGAAGAATAAGCCAGTGGCCTTTAGGGTAGTCAGGCCTGGGTTCAAATTTCAGCTTGCCTCCTCCAAGCTCTATAAACCTTGTACAAGTCACCTGTCCTTACTGCCTAAGGTTCAGATTTCTCCCTGGTCACGTGGGCTAATACCTCCCAGACTTCCTGTGAAGATTAAGTGAGATGTGTGTGAGTTGCTCAGCTCAGCGCCTGGCACCTGGTCCTCACTATACTATATATACACATAACTCTGCTTCCCACTTTCTTGTGTCCACCAGTCTTGCCTTGAGTAGATCGCTGAACCACAGACATCCACTTGGCAGTGAAATCCGGGGACCAGAGGCAGATACTGACCAGCTCATGTTCAGATTGCTCTGAGACCAGCAGCTTTGCCTCCCGCAGCATAGCAGATAATCTTGGTGTGAAACCACTCTCCGGAAGTGTCCTGCGAATGTTTGCCAACAAAGCCAGGCAGTGGCTGACTTTCCTTCCAACTCTGCCGCCCCACACCAGGCCTGGGAGATTCGAAGTGCCTCCCTCCCTCCGTGCCCTGTGCATTTCTGTCCCTTAGATGCTGTGGGTCTGTCCTGTTGCTGGATGGTACCAGGCTGCAGATGGGAAGACAGAGGCTGGCTGGAGCCAGCTGCTCCTTTGGGCTCTGTGCCAGCTGCTGTAGCTGGGGGGAGACAGGAGGGAGATCCAGGCAGCAGTGTTTGGGGGAGGCTGCAGTATGGTAGGGGTGACTTGTCCAAGTGTGGAAACTCTTTTCCAGTCCCCACTGCACTGGAGCAGGAAGGTGCTCCTTTGCTCTTGCTTGGGTCTCCTAATTACAGGTCTGAGCTTCAAAGCAGGTTACAGACCTGGCTAATTGCTTGGCCTGGGGGAGCTGGACAAGCAGGCCAAGCCCGCCCGAGTGGGCATGCCGGGCTAAGGGCCTTTTGAGGCTGGCTCTGCAGTCCGGAGCGCAGTGCTGGAGCCCAGGCGGTTCCGCCAGCTCCTCTGGGAGGGAGCCGCCTCTGGCCGCAGGTGGCCCTGCTTGGCGCTCGGGCTCCGGCGCCTCCTCCCTTCTGGCCCCGCGGCGGCTCCGTCAGGTGGAAAGCTCCCCATTCAAACCAGCGCCGGCCAATCAGGGCCTGGCGCGCCCCGCCGCTTCCAACGCGCGGGGCAGCCGGCCTCAGGCTCCCGCCGGTCCCGCCTTGGAGACACTGGCGAGAGGGCGGGTGAACCTGCTGCCTCGGTTACTGGGGACCAACAGAGCCGCCTTGGGTTACAGGCGCTTCCGCCGTATCCGCAGCCGGGACGCCATGGAGCGCTCCCTGCACCGAGTCTCACTTGGGAGCCAGCGTGCCCACCGGGACTTGTCTTTCTACCTCACCACCTTTGGTAAGTGCCCTTCGGGGCAGGTTGCGCTCAACGCCCCCGACGCTGACGGAGCCCCGCTGTCTCTGTCTGGGGGCCCCTTCTCTGCCCCACCCCCTTCTGTTTGCCCTGGAGCGCTCAGGCCAGGGGCTCAGGCGGAGGAAGCCGCTGGACACCACCTGCTGCCTGCCCACTGGTGCCAAGCCAGTTGGTTCCGCCTCACTGGGCTGGAAATAATCATGCCCCAGCTGGTCTTTGAGAGGCCAGGGTTGTCACCACCGAGTTTCCCATTAGCAGGCAGCTCAGGTGAAATCAAGGTCTTGCTACTGCATCTGGAGGTCTCATTCACCTCTTTGCTGTGGCTCAGGGACCCAGTAGATGCCGGCGAGCCTAGCTGGCCTTCCTCCTGTGGGCTAACCTTGGAGGCAGTAACTGATCCACAGGCAGATGGGAGAACTCTGCCCTCCAAGATAGACCACCCTCTCAGAAGAGTCCCGGGACTGCCCTAGGGCTTGAGGTGGAAGGGAACGGGCAGTGAGCCTCACCTCCCTGCCCTCACCTCCGAGGCTCTGGAAAGCAGACAGGGCGCCCCCAGTTGCCCCAAAGGCAAACTTGGCCTTGCAAGTAGCCACAACAAAGATAAGTCCCCCTTCCTCCAGCACTGCCCATCACAGCTTTTCCTCTCCTCACTGGCCCTGCGACTCCCTGTGAGAAGGTTTTCTGTCTCTGTGTGGACTTGAACCCAGAGAGAGCAAGTTCTTCCCTCAGCAATGGCAGAGGGGTTTCCTCAACTCAAGCTTTCCCAGGAGTCCAGTGCATTTCCTTCCAATGATTATTTTCTTTATTTGAAAGGCATAATGATAGGGAAACAGAGAGAGAATCTTTCATCTACTGGTTCACTCCCCAAATGACCACAACAGCAGGGTCTGGGCCAGGCTGAAGCCAGGATCCAGAACTCCAACCATGACTCTCACATGGATAGTAGGGACTTGTACTTGCGCCATCATCCGTCATCCTGGCTGTTTCCCATGTACCTTAGCAGAGCGCTGAATTGGAAGCAGAGCAGTGGGACTCAAACCAGTGTTCTGATATGGGATACAGGCAACCCAAGCTGTAGCTTAAGCCACGCTGCCACAGTGGCTGCCCCTGTCCAGCACATTTCTGGTTGAACTTGCGTATGCTTTCCTTGTAAAGGTTGGGGCAGTTACCGCAGCATAACTGGGCTTTGCCCAAGGAGTTAGGCCCTCCCTGGCGTTCCTGGCTACCCTGCTGTCAGGCTTACTGCTGCCCAACACGCTTGGTTCTTTACAGCCCGAGTGATGGAAAAGCAATGAGTTGGCCCCTGTAAGTGGCCTGTAGTATGGTACCCTGAAATTTATTGGTTTAGTTGGTGAAGGGTAATAAAGAGAGCAGTTAATTAGCCACTGTGGCCCTCACCATGTGCCTTGGCTTTGTGAGTTGTTTTACCTGCATCATCTCCTTTAATGCTCCCAATTCGAGAAACAATTCCTGTTAGCTCCACTGGGGTGAGGGTAGGGGCGGTTTGAGACAGGGGAGGTTTCCAGGATGATCTGGGTTGGTGTCGGGGAGCTGTGAGGGCCTGTCACCTAGCTGTGTCCTGATGAAAAGTAGAAGTGGGTTTCATTGTTTTTCCTCTCCACGTTACCATAGTAAGACGTGTTCATTGTTGAAAACTCAGTGAAAAGAAGGTGGTGAAGGTCATCTGACATCTGATTGTTAATGTTTTGGTTTCTATTCTTCCAGACTTATTTCTATTTCTGAGCATATGTGGTCTGATGTTACCAGAATTTAAGTTGGATGCAGAGTTGTATAACCTATCCTTTTTTTCTTGCTGGCATTCTGTGAATATTCCCTAGCATGAGCCCAAGCCCTTCTGCTGAGTCAGTCTCCCTGCCGGATCGGAGAAGCAGGGGAAGTCCAGGCCCAGGGGAGTGGAGCCTCACACTTGGACGTGACTGCTGGGTCCAGTGGCTGCTGCTTGCGCTCCTGAGTGTGCAGGAGACAGGCAGGATTCGGGGTTTAGGGGGGAGCCTCCCGCCTGTATTTGTGCAGCTCCTCTCAAACCGCTCTGAGGTTTGTAATGAGAACGTTTGAAAAGTTCTTGTGGGGCTGGCGTGGTGCCGCAGGTTAAGCTGCTGCCTCCAACACCAGCATCCCATATGAGTGCCAGTTGGAGTCCCAGCTGCTCTGCTTCCAATCCTGCTCCCTGCTGATGTGCCTGGGAAAGCAGCAGCAGATGGCCCAAGTACTTGGGTCCTTGCCATCCATGTGGGAGACCTGGATGGAGCTCCAGGCTTTGGCCCGGCTCAGCCCTGGCTGTTGTGACCACTTGGGGAGTGAGCCCACAGATTGAAGATTTCTCTCTGTGTCTCTCCCTGCTTGTCACTCTGCCTTTCAAATAAATCTTCTGAAAAATTCTGTTCTGTTTCCTGCATTAACTCTGTTTCCTTTGGTGCTGTTTGTTTTGGTGGCCTTTTTTAGGCTGCCACTTTTCTTTATACAGAGTGAGCTTTGCTCATTGACTCCTGAGTGAAGATTCCTATTAGTGGTCACCAAACCTGGCCAAATCTCAGAACCTTGTGGAGCCTATTGAAACATATTTTCCTAGGATATTCTCCCAGAGATTCTGGTTTAATAGGCTGAGGTGGAGCCTGAAAATTTGTAATGTTAAGATGCCACAGAAGTATTTTGACCACCAGCCAGGTTTAGAAGCTATGGCTCCAGGGCCACTTTGGGTAGCCAATGTGCATTCTCTTTACTGTGGAGGTCTTTGCTGTGTTTTCCCCAGGTTGCTGGCCTTTTTCCAGCATGGCAGGTAGTCCCTGGCCTTAGCAATGGACTTTGCTTTGATAGAATGAGTAAGATGCTGCCCAGCTGGTAGTTTCCTGAATGCAAACATTAAAATATATATATTTAAATTTGAGAGGGAGAGCGAGTGAGAGGGAGGGAGGGAGGGAGGGAGAAAGAGCGACCATTTCTATCTGCTGATTCACTTCCCAAGTACCTGCAGGGGCTAGGGCTGGGCCTGTTGAAGCTGAGAGCCGAGAATTTAGTCCAGGTCTCACCCGTGGGAGGCAGGGATCCAACTACTTGAGCCATCACCTGCTGCCTCCCTAGATGCATGTTAACAGGAAGTTGGTTTGGAAGCAGAGTAGCCTAGATTAAACCAGGCAGTGTGGTGTGGGATGCGAGGATCTAACCACTAGGCCTAACCTTTGCCCCTTGAGTACAGACATTTAAAAGTAGCATATGCATCTCAGGAAATAAAAAGAGACAGTGTTGTTTTGATCAGAATTCCTGTTAGAGAGTGTAATGTATGATATATATATTTTTGTGTGTGCATGAGCACAACCTCTGTACCACTCAAATGAACATATTCAAATCACATTAATGG